TAATGACACCAAAGATATTGTGCCACACACAGAACTATGATGATAAGTTACAAACAACCTACATTAAATTACCTGTGGATGGGATAATTGATCGAGAAAGGAAAACCGGTTAAGAAAAACGATTCAAGCAAACCTAGATTTGCAAACTACGAAGAAGATTGGAAGTAAGTGAATCTGGAAATTAACTGTTAAACAGAAATTGCTGAAATTAAATGGAAAAATATGAGGAATCTTGATAAAAGTTAAGGGATAGGTTCCAAAGATGTCTGGCATCAGTATAGCATCTGTCATTATATTAGAGGAAATTATTTCAGATGGCCATTAAAGAATAAAACAATGTCACATGGATACAATATTCAGTGAGTTCAGCAACACTGTAATGGAGTACTACCAGTTACTGGAAATTCCAAGTATTTTGATTACTCTATTTTGTAAAAGATTACTATTATTATTAGGCCTATTATTATTATCATTATTTTTACTATTATTATTAGTTTATATTTTTTGTTTTGTATTCTTCATGTTTACAATATTTATGTATCCGTTTAATGTTTGAGTTCCTCCTGTAAGTGGCGAATGTTATGTTTGCTGTTGGTTTGAATAATAAATACTGTAAATAAAATAAAATAAATAATGATGATAATGATGAGGATATTGATGATGATAATGGTGAGGATATTGATGATGATAATGGTGATGATAATAATGATGATGATAGTGATGATGACAATGATATTGGTAAAGATGAAGAAAATGATGAATTGATCAATAATAAAGATCTTTGAACATAATGAATTGATAATGATGATTATATTCTCTCCATATCATGTTCTATTACACAGATAACATTTATTAGTATGAGCTCAGCCAATCAGATAAGAAAGTATGACATAGATAAGACTACTGAACTCAAATACTAAGCAGTGACTTAGCTTAATATGAAAATGAAATCAATCCTAAATAGCAATCTAATAATCTCAAAATCCTGACGCAGATGCACAAGTGCTGCAATATTCTCCATCTCGTAAATTAATCTTACACGATGGTAAAATAAGTTCTTGTTGACTTCTAATAATACGTTAAATGAGGCGTACATTTCACCACCGACAAACTGAACATGAACAACAGTTCTATAAACTCTGCATTAATTATTACCAGCTCAACGAAGCAGATGGATGGTCAGCAACAAGCAGCTGTTTGTTGGCTAATTCTTAATGATGATTTCTACTTGATTAGTACTCATTAGACAAAGAATTCATCAGTACACCTCTTAAATTTCAACTTGCTAAGTTTCTTTGTCCGTTTGCCTATAACATCTTTTGAGGTTTAAACACCTTACAAGAAATTGGTTAAGTCATTTATTATTTATTATTTGTGTGTGTGTGAGAACTTTGAAAATGTGAAAGAAAATATACTGTACACCACAAAGCATAGATTTTATCCTTCTTCTAGTAATAAAAACCTGTGCTAAGTTTTTCTTATTTTTTATACAGACTTAGAACATTCAACAGACACTGCCTATATGTTTGTATGTCTAAAGATTCACATTTTAAACTCTGACTTGTTGCCATTTCTTGAATTGTAAAAACATATTTTTTTGGTCAACTCCATATTAATTTGTAATCAGATTCTTGTAATTAGTACAATCCACAAAGCCCTGTACAATTCAGGCAATTGGTTTTATGACAAAAATTTCACAAACGTTTTTATTTGGCTTATTATATTTGTTTAAACTCATCCATTCCTACTAAAAGCCAAACATCCTGCAGTTGAGCTATTAGTACTATTAATTATGTACTGTAGGATGAAGACTAACTTGAGTTGGATATATAATTTATTAAACATATTTAATATTATTTATTTATTTATTTATAAGCTTTCTTTAACCAGGGAGTATCCATTCAGTGACTAAACTGCTTTTCAAGGAAGCCCTGGTATATACAGTGAATATATCCAAGAAAAAATGAATAAAATAAAAAAAATACAAAATAATAATGTTTACAATCATGAAATTCAAAAGTAACTGAAAGTAAATCAAAAACAAGATAGCCTAAAACTAAAAAGAAAGCAGACAGATGAAAACTACCAAACCAAAATAAAAAAGGTACAGTCTTACTAAATAGATAAAGAATAGAAAGGGAATCAAAATTGTTACAGATGTTACAGAGAAATATTGTTATAATAATTATTGTTGTAATAATATATACCAAACTTTTTACACTCAATGAAATTTAAAATATACAAATACAAAAGATACAATTTCTGAAACATTTTAATCATATTCTTCAAAATAGCATTGTCATTAATATCCACTTAAAATTTCAAATACAATAAGTACACTAATTAGCCTAAATAGCCATCATTGGCCGATCAAGTTCCTGTCACAAATGCCCAAAATACCAGCCTACTGATAATCTACTGCAACCTTTCCCTTTCCTGGCCAACCTACCTCTTCCTCTACTCCTCCTCCTCCCGCTGACCAATTAATTATTATTTTATTATCACTTCATTTTTTATGTTGTTGGTTGTTGTTTTCAAATAGTATTGTCAGTTCATTAATGTAATTCACGATTATTGGTAGTTCAACATTACATTTTACTGAGCAACCAAAAACAAATGTATGAAGTGTGCAGTTGTTGGCTACCAAAACATGCATACAGCTAGGACTAGGCCCTAGGCTATGCCTTCCAAAAATTACTCCCTTCTGAATTCGATCATTATCAACAGCAATCCTCCCTCCCTCTCACTCAGCCGCATTATCATTCCACCTGAAATACTACCACCAGTAACGAAACCCAGTTAAAGCTTAGCACAAAATATAAACTCACCAAAGCCGTGAAAAGGATCAAATCACGTATATTTCTCGCCATGATTTGGCGCAATATCCAGCGAGAATTTATGGTTAAAAACACTTCTATTTACTTGCACACCAGGCAACAGCTATTTCCAGAAGAACTATCTCCTACTCTTCGCTGGCAAGCTGTCAATTACCAAACCACAAGGACAATCGGGAAGCTGTCGTGTGTAATCGGAAATATTCGGCATAATAATCTGGGAAAACTGAGGGCGCACGTCAGCACAAAAGACAGACTAATAGACCAGCAAAAGACATACCTTGTCAATGATCGAATTTTGACTGCGATTGATATACAACAAAAAAAAAACCAAACAAACAAACATAACGCAACATAATCAGAATAGAAACATTACTATTGGAAACGTCCAATTCGGCGATTCTGTTTCATTCATATACAACAAATATTCAGTATCATTACAGAGCCGCCGATACCGTGATAATTCTCATTTTTATTAAGTCTATTAATGATGCCAGAAGTGGTTTTGGTTACTTTGATATTTCCTAATTCTTTTAAGTACGTCAATATATTATCAAAATTGCCAATTATTGTAACTTAGGGGTATTGTCATCAGGAACTAGATGGCTGGGAATCACTATCAGACTAATGCTTAGTAGTAAATTTCTTTGTTTTTATATATGTTGTAGAACTGATTTTCCTAAGACACAAAAAAACATATTTGACGAAAAACTCGGAAGCGGGTTAGTGTGATACAGATTTTTTAATATTTAAAAACTGTAAGGAAAAGGTCCGTAACTTCCCTCTTTCCCTCATATTATTTTAAAATAATCAAAAATCTGTTTCTTATCAACCGCTTCCGAGTGTTTCGTCAAATATGCTTTTCGTGTCTTAGAAAAATCAGTTCTACAACACATTAAAAAATAATTTTCCTCTGGAGCATAGCTTTAAATTTGAATAATTTCTTTCTTTTTCTCCATTTCTTTATAATAATAATAATAATAATAATAATAATAATAATAATAATAATAATAATAATAATAATAATAATAATAATAATAATAATAATAATAATAATAATAATAATAATATTAATAATAATATTAATAAATAAAAAACTAGGCTGTTTACGAGCTTTCTCAACGTGACCTAATTATACCCACTGTCACCGATTTCCGTGAGACAATTGATGATAAAGCAAAACATGCAAAAATAAAAATTTGGGTTATTTTCCGAGAGATTCTCGACTGCGGAAGTACGGCAGGCCATCCCGATTCGCCTGTCGCCTGGCCCGCTTGTGTTACGGTCATTGCATTCCCTTGGTATAAAAACGAAATTTTTATCCAATTCATGTGCAATGGTTTTACTCCTGGACACTGACTGGATACTTTTTAACCATAAGCTTGCCTGTCCTCTAGTCCACTTCAATACAACAATCTTTATCCTTCCTCGTTTGGACTGCACCTTCGGATCATCTTAAAATCTGTGACTCGTTTATATCCTTTTTGTCTTGTCTAGTTTCTAATCTTCTTAATTCTATTTAATTTGAATTCTTGACTTTTTTTTTTTTTGACTGATGACTTGGTTTTTTTTCGTATGCCAGACGTGTCCTGCCTTTCCTTCAAAGATGTGTATAAGAGATCTAATTTGTAATTTTCTATTATAATTTATATATATTTAATTGTTTTATTTTATTATTTCAAAGGGTAGCTGGCTCATCTGAGTTATGCTTTATGCTTTGCTACCCCTGTCAAGCATTTCAATTTTTTCACATATTGTGTTATTGTCATTGTAAATGTTGTCGAATAAATAAATGAAATGAAAATGAAATTATTCTCTTTGGTTTTCGTACCTCTCCCCCCCCCCCCAACCTAACACACCCCGGGTAGTCTCTGGAGTCACCTCAAAGAGTAAGGACTTTTATCCTTTTTTTTACCAGAGACACACGGCGTTATTTATTCGGGTGTGAGTTCGTATTCAAACGAAAGCTCCGAATCGTTCCCCTCTCATTTTTAAATCTAAATGTGCGACTAGAAACTCACACGTCACACTCAATACAATCTGGTAAATAAAAAGTCATCTTAAATTAAAATTTTGATATAGCGCCCTCCATATAGGAAACTAACCCAGTTTGACCTCTCGGCCATTTTTACCAACCTACTTTCGTACTTTTAAGATATCCATACCCCAACTCATTAAAGATACAGTAAACGATATTAAATTATATACTAACTTGTCTAAAGAATGTTTAAGTAAGCGTATTGTATTGTTCCGACGGTCATAATTTGATATATAAACTTTTCACCAACACTTTTGGACATAGGTTGGAACTACTTTATTTTGCGAACATCGCATATTTTTGCATTAACATGGGTGACTTGGCTTAGTTATCTTTACCTTCAGTTGCGTGTTGTGGTAGCCCAATTGGTAGATTTTTGAATAAAAAACGCTATTTTAGGAATGTTATCGATAATCTGGAATTAACCGAAGCTGTAATATACTGCAATTTTCAGTCTCAATTCTGGAAACTACCACAATTTTGGAGATAAACGCTGGAAACTACTTAAATTCGGAACTATCTTGTGGCCTCCAACGGAGAGTGAGACCATCTGCAAAGGTAAGTCGCTTGCAATTTGTCCGTCAGTGAGTGTACGGACCAAAAAGTTCGGATTCCAATGGATTAATTGTCGAATGTACTGATTTGAGATTTGTCTTTCAATTATAGTTAATTATACGTCATGTTATAACCATACACTTTTCATTATTTTCCTTCTATATCTGTTCGTATCAGTTACCCATATTCTTACACTAAAGTTTCCTCAGTTTTTATCTGAGCACTGTAAAAAAAGTTGCTGAAACATATTCCTCCAAGCACGGTGGCTTCCGTTGCCAGATCCTTAGGCCTACTCCTTTCTTACCCGGAAGTTTGGTGGTTGGTGTCGGTACTTGTAGCCATAAACTACTTTTTATAGGGGCGGTTACCATAACTATAATTTTAATTATTCATTAACATTTTCTTAGTTGAAATAATTTTAATTTTGGTTGATTTTAGTTTATAATCCAGATGGTGGACAAGTGTAAAAAAATGTAAATGGAGCAGCAAGAAAATGCTCAGGGCTAAACTCAACTGCTACTGTACCTGGTGGTGTTTGGCCTCTGCTGGGTTTAGTGGGCTAGGGCACATTGCACATAATATTAATAATGATAAATTTATTTTTAAAAGTTATATCTGAATAAGCAACAGGTTATATCACAGGATTGTAGGCTGGTTTGGCTTGGGGGTGAACATTTAGAATGCGGAATTTTATTAACTCCATTGCAAATGGTCAGTTTTATTTTATAACCCACTTAGCAGAAATATTAATGTCAGTTTGGGAAGGAATGTGTTCATGCCCCACTTCCTATGTTTCTCACCCCAGCGTACACCCATGTCTTCATATTTTTTATAGACCAAGGGAGTATTTTTTTTAAAGAGCTACCGTATGCCAGACGTGTCCTGCCTTTCCTTCAATGATATGCTGTGGTTTTGTTTTTTTTTTGGTGTGCGTGTATGTGACATTTTCCCCAAACTGACAAATTTACCATATGTACAAATTAATGTTATTTGTTATTAAATATAAAATCCATACAAAATTTAATGTTATGCATATGTTTGCATAAAATCAGTGATTTAATTATACCACAGGTGGTAAATTTGTCAGTTTGGGGAAAAGGTCAAAGTTAACATTTATCTCAAATGTTATTTGTTATTAAAAATGAAATCCATAAAATAGGTAATGTTATGAATGGTAGTTAATGTACTTAATGTTTATGTGACAGATGTGATGCTTAATATTAAGTATTGACCATAAACTACACATTAAGTTTAAACTTTCATTGGAAGAAATCGTTAATGATTTATGATAATTTTTTTCTGTATTGGCTACTTAAAGAAGGCTGAGAACAGAGGAAGTTCCCATAACGTGGCCACAAATTTCTTGTCTTTTCTCTTTAACCTTTTATTTTTTTTGAATTATTTGTCTTCATTTCATATCTTACAAATAATAGGATGATCTGAATAACATTATAATAGGGATTGTTAGAAAGTAGAGCCGGTTTTAATGAGGAAAAAACAATCCTTTGTTGCCATTTAGGACTATATTTAGTCATCAACATGTGATATCACTCAAAGTTTCCAATTAAAATTATTGTTTTGCTGTTTAATTCTCCTAAATGTTGATGCATTTACTCTCCTTATTGAGATTTCTAAAATATTGTTAAATCCAAACCCATTAAATTCCCGTCTCCCTGCTCCTCCTTTACTTGTACTTTTCCTTATTGATACAATAGTTAGTTGGCCTATACATGTTCAGTTCAGCTAGCTCACTATTATGTGTATAATAAACTACACTATTGTTATAATGGGGTTGTTTTAAATAATATCCCATCTGACATTGTTATTCATTAAGTAATTGAGACCATCTATTTAAGTAATTCACTAGTTCACTAGTCAATGTTTATGTTAATAAAATGTTTCTCTTTAAATTATATAGACAATGACTGCTGAATAATTGTTTATATTAATCATAAATGTTTTCTGATATTGATGAAGTGACTAATTATAACATTCATTTTTGTCTATATTTGTGAAACATATACATGTTGACATTTGTGTATGACCCTAAGCCTTTGGAAAAAGATAAACAATTTCTTTTTCCAGAACCATAGTTTATAAAACATCACTTCCTTTCTGTAAGTAATTTATATTTGAAAGAAGGTTAATCAATAAGACTGTCTTCTGAAAAAAGGGAAGTTAAATTTTTGAAGTAATGAATCCCCTTCTGCATCTGATCAACCATGTGATCTGTATGTGGTATTGTTTTGAACACTCAAGTTAATACACTGTAAAAATGGCAGCTTGGCGATTGTTTTTGCTGAATGTGATGAAATTACTCATTTTGTAATTATTTTGTGGGGGGATATTGGGCCTATGGCTATGCCTCTCCGCTCTTCTGGGCCTATCTTTCTCCTCGTTCGTTCGTTGTGCCGATGAGCATAGCCGAAGGCATTTGCCTTCTCACTGCACACCGGCGAAAGCCAAACATCACCCTTGGGTTGTGTGCTGTGCATTGATATTTAAAAAAAAAAAAATTGAAATAATACAAACAATAACTAAAAATTTTTTTTTTTTTAATTTAAAGATTAAAATTTTTTTTCATTACCATAGAAGACATGCATGCAGGCAAGGGTGATAAAGTAACAAACAAAATTTAGGGACCTAAGATATAGTTTTCTGTGGAGAATAATTTGAAATTTAAATTCAAAAAGTGTACATAAGAAGCCACACCCTTAAATCAACAACAAATGAATCATCTTTATTACTTTCTTGACTAATGTGGATTGCTAAGTATTCATGTTTTAGTATGGAAATTGGTTGTTGAAATGGTTTGTTTCAATTTTGATTATTCATATATCTTGTGTTGATATTGATTTTTAAAGATGAGCGTTATGTCTAGATTTCATAATTACAATCCATTACCATCTCCACATTCGCGAATCAGCGTCTGATGATGATGTATGAAATATGAGATATCATAGTAAACTGACAATTATTGTTGTTGCATTATTTATAAAAAGGTGTTCTGTAAATGCCAAAATAATAAACAAAGAATAACAAATAGGTACAGTAATTCAATATGTAATTTGAATTTGAGTTATGGTATAGATTCAAATGGATCATAATATTTTGCATTTATAAAATTTATATTGAGTAAAAAAGAGAGGAATTGATCATGACAAAATTGAAATAAAACTGTTAACTAGACAATTTTAAGCCTTTTATTCATTTATTTCCATTTGCTGTCATTTTCATCATGTAGAAACGTGTGGTGCAGCGTGTAAGATGTTGGACTTCTGATCGTGAGATCTGGAGTTAGTTTGAGGCCGACGCTCATCGCATTGCTTGTGTTCTTGGGCAATGCACTTTACTTGCGCTGCTTTCCACCCACAAGTATAAACGGGTACTTGGTAGGATGGTATTGCATTGAATGTATGTGTCGCACGCGTACAAGCAATAAAGGCCAGGGATACTCCCCAGGGAGCAGAGAAAGTGGCACTATGTGCGGGTCTGCCAACTCAGTATCCAGTGACCAGGGAAATAATGATGCCAACGCCTTGTATAATCTGCAGGTTGTGATATACACTATATCAATTTTGGTCCAAAACAAAATATATATACATAGAAATTGTTTTTGCTCTGGGACACTATTACATAAAATACAAAGCAACTACGTGTTGGGAAATAGATTCCACTGTTTTGTTTCTATTACTAATTTCATTATGCAAGTTTATTTTTCATGAGAGAAGAATTTATAACACACAGATTGAACCATAAACTTTGACATAAGGCATGCACTTTCAGTTATGACCAAGCTCAGAATCAGATAATAAATTTATGTCAAATTCATTTTCAATTAAATAACATGTCTATTCATTCAACAAGAATAGGACAGTAGAATAATATTCCTTAAATTTAAATCTCATTGGCCATATTAAGCGCTGGGAAGTGGTTATTGAGATTTAGATTTTTGAATATTTAAAAACTGGTGGAAAAAGAGTGATTACGCCCCTTCTCCCCCAGTTTGTGAATATTCAAAAATCTCTCATTAATCGCTTCTGAGTTTTTCGTGAAATGCTTTTTTGTGTCTTGGAAAAATCAGTTCTACAACATATTAAAAAAAAATTTTTCTGGAGCCTGGCTTTAAATTAGGCAATAACATCCTACAGTGTTAGTTTGTTTTACCTGACAAACGTAGTCTCCAACATTAGCAGTCCCTTTCACTAACACAATACTGTTTATCACAATTTTTGTCTATACTCTATAATTCATTTTTACTAGGAATTTAAAAAATATTGTATAAACATTTTGATATTTCTAAGAAATTAGGAGTTGTATTTAGCAGAGATCTTTCACCTAGTTAACTCATAGTTGATTGTTTTCATTATTGTGTAAGTGTTAGTTGCTTATGTAATCTCTGTTTGTGTTAAGTCTGTTAATGTAAAACTGTGACTTATAGAATCCTACAGTTATAAACTAGGTAGGTAGATACTATAATGCGATACAGATAGAGTATTTATGTCGCACATTAAACTTAAGTACAAGTATTAATAACCTTAATGGTATTATAACATTAATGGTAGTGATACATTCCATATTTTTTGTGCATCATATCCATTTGAAATGTTTTAATGTTTCATCGAGTTAATAATATTGTCTGCCATAAAATTTATTAAAATCCTTTAAAAGATATTACAATTTATTGAGTGGTTATTTAAATTCATTTAAATTAAGCAAATATTAAAGCTAAGATACACAAATTCAGTATCACAGATTGTAATTAAGTTTGTTGGTTGACTGAGGCTATTTATGCCATATAAATTTACTTTTTTCCAGGGTTTTCTATATTTATGATTATTTCTTTTTATGTAAACATGTCCACTTGGCTTCATTCCTGACGTCCTTAATTTATAAAACAACTAGTGATAAATTCCTAGCTACACCTCTAACCCAGTTATTTCTATTATAGTATGTCTTTCAATTTTGTTTAGGAATTTATTCTTTTTTTGTGGAAAATAGTT